ACTGATCACTGACCGTATGGTGAACAGCAGGTGTACTAGTAATGGTGGTATAGGTTGCAGCAGCATTGACAGCAGTAGCAACAGCAGCAGCAGTAGCAACAGCAGCAGTAACAGCAGCAGCAGTAGCAACAGCAGCAGTAACAGCAGCAGCAGTAGCAACAACAGTAACAGCAGCAGCAGTAGCAACAACAGTAACAGCAGCAGCAGTAGCAACAGTAACAGCAGCAGTAGCAACAGTAACAGCAGTAGCAGTAGCAACAGCAACAGCAGCAGTAGCAACATCAATAGTAATAACAGCAGCAGCAGTAACAGGAGCAGCAGTAGCAACAGCAGCAGTAACAGCAGCAGCAGTAGCAACAACAGTAACAGCAGCAGCAGTAGCAACAGTAACAGCAGCAGCAGTAGCAACAGTAACAGCAGTAGCAGTAGCAACAGCAACAGCAGCAGTAGCAACATCAATAGTAATAACAGCAGCAGCAGTAACAGGAGCAGCAGTAGCAACAGCAGCAGTAACAGCAGCAGCAGTAGCAACAACAGTAACAGCAGCAGCAGTAACAGGAGCAGCAGTAGCTACAGCAGCAGTAGCAACAGTAGTAGCAGTAACAGCAGCGGCAGTAGCAGTAACAGCAGCGGCAGTAGCAGTAGCAACATCAGGAGCAGTAACAGCAGCATCAGTAACAACAGCAGCAGTAGCAACAGCAGCAGCAGTAACAGCAGCAGCAGCAGCAACAGTAGTAGCAGTAACAGCAGCGGCAGTAGCAGTAGCAACATCAGGAGCAGTAGCAGTAACAGCAGCATCAGTAACAACAGCAGCAGCAGCATCAGTAACAACAGCAGCTGCAGCAGCGTAAGAGATCGCAGATGGTGGCCCACATTTCCGAAGGTTGGGGGGGGGGGGTGATGATATCTGCCTTCCGGAGAATATATATTTTTTCGTCATACTGACTTCTATTTTCACAAGATAGCACGAGACTGGTTTAGTCCTGGCTACAGAGAGAGAGAGAGAGAGAGAGAGAGAGAGAGAGAGAGAGAGAGAGAGAGAGAGAGAGAGTGAGAGAGAGAGAGTGTGAGAGAGAGAGAGAGAGAGAGAGAGTGTGAGAGAGAGAGAGACAGAGAGAGAGTGAGAGTGAGTGAGAGTTACAAACAGGAAAATGACCGTGCATCTGGTACTAAGGCTCACCTATATGATGACACAGTCGCTCACGATACTCCACTAGGAGTCAGCGAGCACTGAGAGCTGGTCGTCTGAGAATGTTGTCATTTAGATCAATGGAAGAGAGGAGAGACAGGGAGGTACAAGGCCAGCATACTGGGCAAGGGAAGCATGAGAAAGTACACCTAACCTCTAGGAGTCTGTTGGCAGACAGATCTTAAGATTAATGCTGCACAAGACATGATGTCCAGAATTGCTTTGAGACGGGAACAAGACACAACATGTTGGGTTGATTCAACAGACTCCGTGAAGCAAGAAAGACTTCTGTAAGAGCAGGGAAGAGAGGCGGTGAGAGTGAGGACACAAGGCCTAAATCACTGTAAGAGTGGAAGAAATATATGTCAAGATCAGTTATGAAACACAGCAGCAGTACGGACCTACTACTCGGTCACACATCAGGAGAAATATAACAGTGGCAGATAAGGAGCCGGATTAAACAAGAGAGGAGGAGAGCCAACCGGAAAATCTCAATAATATGGGTCACACTAACAACAGCTTACAGGAAATGTTCCTTCTGGACTGCTCTACTAGCTTAAATTACCAAAATATGTACGGTATACAAAGCAACATCGAAATTAATGTACTGTAGAGATGACCAGACCACACACTAGAAGGTGAAGGGACGACGACGTTTCACAATCGACTTGAGAATGGTCCAGGACGGACCGAAACGTCGTCGTCCCTTCACCTTCTAGTGTGTAGTCTGGTCAACTTACTTTAGCCACGTTGTGACTCATCACCTGCGTACTGTAGAGAGCTTAAAGTGGGGCGTGATGACCAAACCACGCCCCAGAAGATGAACAAGACGACGACGATTCGCTCCGTCCTGGACCATTATCAAGTCGTGTGTCAAAAGCGACCCAGTTTGCACGAATACTCACACTAACGAGGACCAGTCTCGATAAGGTATGTAGGCTGGGTTAAGTTGGTACGCTTATTGTTAGACGCAAGCATTGTCGGTGCTTGCGTGGTGAGAACGGGCCCCATGCTTGAGCCTGAGCCCTTGCCGGTGGTCGGGGCGGGGCACCAGCACTCAGACCTGACCCCCCCCCCACAGCAGGTTTTTTTATTATTATTATTTTCTACCACAGACGTGGCCACACATTTACAATGCTAACCAGCATATATACATTTTCTTCTGTGGCAGCACGTTGAGAATCTTGGCGCATTAAATTTAATGCAAGTAGCCCCACTCTTCCCAGAGGTAATGAGAAAAGGCTTTTGAGGCTATAAGCAAACTTCTTTAGCAGGGCGTCTACCGAGGGGGCCTGACAGCTGGGTGGACAGCGCTTCGGATTCGTAGTCCTGAGGTTCCGGGTTCGATCCCCGGTGGAGGCGGAGACAAATGGGCAAAATGTTTCTTTCACCTTGATGCTCCTGTTACCTAGCAGTAAATAGGTACCTGGGAGTTAGACAGCTGCTACGGGCTGCTTCCTGGGGGTGTGTAACAAACACTACCTAGGCCGTGGTAGACAAGTGCTAGAATAGATAACACCAGTGGTGAAGCCCCATCTGAAAAAAAACAACGTAACTTGGGAAAGTTGAGAGGTTTGTCACAAGTCAGGTACTTGAACTTGGAGGGCTGATGTCTGAGAACAGCCAGAGGGAGCAAGACTAACAAGAGGCACATTATAGTTTCGGTCCACACACACACACACACACACACACACACACACACACACACACACACACACACACACACACACACACACACACACACACACACACACACACACATTCTCATCACCCGAACAATTGTTACGAATAAATATCTCTTCTAATATTATGGATTTCTTATCATCAAGGTGAGGTAGTTCAGCCTAACCTCCTTGTATAGATTCTAGACAAGGTATGATAAAGCGAAAGGGTGACTGGAGACTACAAAGCGGGGCCCAGTAGCTGAGACATCCTACAATCAAAAGAGGGGAGCACACATGCAGATGTGCTGTCTCTCTCCTTCTCTTTGTCTCAATCTTGCTTCATCCGTGTCTCTCATTGGTCTTTTTTTTTTTCTTTTTTTATAATAAGGCTGGGGTTGATAAGGAAAGTTATTGATGTTCCCAGTGAAGCTGCAAGCGAGAGCTGTTACCCTACAACAGCTCATTTAAAGCATCTCCCTAGAAATTTACTTTACTTGGTGAGATTACAGTTTGTGTTGATTAGGCATAAACTAACTTTATTGCTGAGCAACTGCGATAAAGGAGTACAGCAACTGCAATAAAGGAGTTGGCTACTCCTGTAGCCAACTCCTTTATCCACCTATGAAAGGCTAAGACTTTTCCTTTCCCATAGCTCATGGTAAGACTTATCTCGAGCTATGAGAAAGGAAGTTATTTTCTTGGAGCACGACCCGCTAATTTACTTTACTCCCAGGTGGCCAGTTGCTGCTGGGTGAACAGTGGCGAAGAGTTATGGATTGGTTCCCAGTCAATCCTCCCTGGGTGTTACGTGTACGTAACACACCAATCCTCGGTGTGTTCCGAGGCGGGTACGTGTGTAACATGTATGTGGTGTTGTGTAAGTGTTCACGTGTATGTATATCTTAACTACTACGTCAACTACTGACCATCAGCCGGATGTAGCCTCCAGATGCTGAATTCTCTCTCTCTCTCTCTCTCTCTCTCTCTCTCTCTCTCTCTCTCTCTCTCTCTCTCTCTCTCTCTCTCTCTCTCTCTCTCTCTCTCTCTCTCTCTCTCTCTCTCTCTCTCTCTCTCTCTCTCTCTCTCCTCCCTCTCCTCCCTCCCTCCCTCCTCTCTCCTCCCCTCCCCTCCCCTCCCCCCCACGCCTGGGCGGTACCGTTGTGGTGTGGTTCAGTGTTGACTCTCCGCCCTCGTGATACTCACCTTCAACACTCGATGCTGATCAATATCTCTAGTGGCCGGCTGTTGAACGCTCAAGACAGTCTCTCTGGGCTCCTTCAGTCCTCAGGCCTCCATTATCCCTCGTTAAAAGACATTACTGCTCAATACGGAATATGGTTTTTCTGGTGTGGGTATATAGGATGAAAGAGAGAGGGGTAGAGGTCGAGGGGGGGGGGGGGAGTTGGCAAACAGCAATTCGAAAAAAGGCTGACCTACTGGCAAACCATTTTTCTTCCATGCTTCATCTGGAACAGCAACCTCCGCAGCTTGATCCAAGCACTGTGTCTGAAGTGGTTATCCAAGAGAATAAAATCCTGCTTCGCCCCCACACACCTTTACTAATTCTGCCTGGCTCAAAAAAAGTTAGTCCTCCCTATGAAAATAGGTGTCGCTCCGCTCTCAGAAGGAAGAGTCGTTGAAGGGTCGGTAACTACGGACCAACGATACCACTTTTAATTACTTGAACAATTCTTGAGACATTAATCTCTTGACAAATGACAGCATTTTTCTACCATCATTGGTTACTATGTAGTCGACAATTTGGTGTGAGGAAAGGTCGTGCTGATGCTGACCTTTTGCTACAACTCTCCACTAAGCGGCATCAGACACTGGATAACGCTATAATAAGTATCGTTGTGGTATTAGACCTCGCAGGAGCCTTTAATAAGGTATAGCAGTCCGGACTACTAGAAAATGGGGAGGAGGGGGGGGGGGGAAGGGAGGATGGTAATGATATTAAAAAAATATATATTATGGCTTATGCTTCTCATCTTGGTGTTCCCGGAGATACTTAGGGTCGTACTCCAACTTGCGGTCAGTGTTGGAAGTGGTGGAGCAAGATATTGGTGCTGGGCCAGTTTAGTGGGCGCGCCTGGTTAAATAAGCTGTGTATTGGCCAAAGTCAGCGAAAAGGTCTTAGAGAAACATTAAGGTGATCTTGGCTGGCACAGGATGAGTATAGGTGTTGGGGGAACATGTTGCTGGATTAGCATTGTTTTCTTGTGGTGTTGGAATACATCTGGGACAGGTGTTGGAGTGAGCAGGCTGTTGGTGGTGGTGAGGAGCGGGGTGGAGTTGGTGGAGAAGCGGTGTGAAGGATTTTGTGGAGCAAGACCTTGGTAGTAAGCTGATGAGAAACATAGAATCAAGGTGAAGGCGATTGTGTCTCATGAGCTTAGTGATACCTGGAGAGAAATCCTTTCTAAGCTGCTACAGTGAAGGGCAGAAACTTGAGAAAGTGGGAAACACACTTTAGAAGGAAATTATCGCAAAATAGTGGAACTGGATAAGAAATTATTAACGGTAAATTGATGGAGAATAGCGAAGAAGAGTTGAAAGGAATCCTAATATATAATAATAAATGAAATATCTTTGGATATATGAAGGACAAATATTAGAGGTACACACTAGGATGTCCATGTGAGGGCGTGCGCGCGGGGCGAGCAGCGCCGGGTAGTGTCATAGTGAAGGTAAGTCACAGTGGACTGGAGAAGCCAATTACTTCTCTTGTGTGAGATAGTGCCTCGGGAGACGTGGTGTGCCTGCGTACTCACCTAGTTGTGCTTGTGAGGGTTGAGCTTCGCTCTTTGTTCCCACTTATCTGTCAGTCAACTGGTATACAGGTTCCTGAGCATGTTGGGATCTTATCATATCTGCCTTTGAAACTGTGTATGGAGTCAGCCTCCACCACATCACTGCCTAATGCATTCCATCTGTTAACTACTCTGACACTAAGAAAGTTCCTTCTAATGTCTTTTTTGACTCATTTTAGTACTCAGTTTCCACCTGTGTTACCTTGTGCGAGTGTCACCCGTGTTAAATAATGTCTTTACCTACTCTGTCTATTCTCCTGGGAATTTTGTATGTGGTGATCATGTATTTCGTAACTTCTGTCCTTCAGCAACATGAAATGCATATCACATATATTTTCCTTGTAACTCATACCTCTTAGTTCTGGAAGTAGTGTAATGGCTTAGCTTTCAATCTACTCCAGCTTCGTCTTATGCTTGATAAGGTATGAAATCCAAGCTAGGCCGCGTACTCCAGGATTGGTCTGACATATGTGGTATACAAGGTTCTAAATGATTCCTTACACACATTTCTAAAGGCACTTTTGATATTAGCCAACCTCGCATACGCCGCTGGTGATATCCTTTTTTATAGTGGCTTCAGGAGACAGGTTTGGTGTGATATCAACTCCTAGATCTTGCTCTCTGTCCGTTTAATGAAGGACTTCTCCCATTCGGTACTTTGTGTCTAGTCTCCTAATCCCTCCACCTAGCTTTATTACGTTACATTTACTAGAGTTGAAGTGTAGTAGCCATTAGTCGGACCATTCTTTTAGTTTATCCAGGTCATCTTGTAGCCTCTGGCTTCCTTCCTCTGTCTTAAGCCTCCTCATAATTTTAGCAGCATTAGCAAAGAGGGAGAGGGACTAGTCTATTCCCTCTGGTAGATCGTTTATACATATCAGAAACAGCATAAGACCAGAATGAACACTGTGGGACTCCAATAATGATATCTCGCCACTCTGAGACCTCACCCCTCACAGTGACTTGCTGTTTTCTGTTGCTTAGGTATTCTCTTATTCACGGAAGTATCCCTTTTCTTTCTGAGTGCATCTCTCAAACTTATGCACTAGTCTCCTATAGAGTACTGTGTCATAGGCTTTTTAGCAATCCAGAAATATGCAGTCTGCCCAATGTTCTCTTGCCTAGTTTTTGTCAGCTGGTCTTACAATTCCGTTAAGCCTGAGAGGTAAGATTTTCCATCCCTGAACCCGTGCTGGTGATGTATTACATAGTTCTTTCTCTCCAGATGTTCTACTAATTTTTTTCTCACAATCTACCCCATCACCTTGCATGGTATGCAAGCTAGAGACACTGACCTCCTGTCTGTCACCCTTTTTGTATATCGGGACTATATTAGCCGTCTACCAAATTTTTGGCAGTTCTCTTGTTACCAGTGATTTGTTATACACCACTGAGATGACAGGTACAGTGCTTTTGCTGCTTTTATAGTATCCATGCGGAGATTCCGTCTGGGTCTACAATCTTCGCCACATCCAATTCAAGCAAATGCTTCCCCACTGGTAATCACAAACTCCTCCAGTGGTGATACTTGCTTGATGGGGTTCTGGGAGTTCTTCTACTCCCCAAGCGCGGTCCGAGGCCAGGCTTGACTTGTGAGAGCTTGTTTCAACAGGATGTTGCTTGGAGCAGCCCGCAGACCCACATACCCACTACAGCCCGGTTGGTCCGGTACTTCTTGAAGACCGCTATCTAACTCTGGTTAGATATTTGTTTCCATAGTTCAGAAACTTCTCCTTTCTCTATTCGGAAGAGCTGGAATCTCATATTTAGTTCCTCACACACTTCCTTGTCATTTGTAGTGTACCTGTCAGCCCCGATCCTCAGTTTCATTACCTGTTCCTTCACTGTTGATATATATATATGTCGTACCTAGTAGCCAGAACGCACTTCTCAGCCTACTATGCAAGGCCCGATTGGCCTAATAAGCCAAGTTTTCCTGAATTAATATATTTTCTCTAATTTTTTTCTTATGAAATGATAAAGCTACCCATTTCACTATGTATGAGGTCAATTTTTTTATTGGAGTTAAAATTAACGCAGATATATGACCGAACCTAACCAACCCTACCTAACCTAACCTATCTTTATAGGTTAGGTTAGGTAGCCGAAAAAGTTAGGTTAGGTTAGGTAGTCGAAAAAACATTAATTCATGAAAACTTGGCTTATTAGGCAAATCGGGTCTTGCATAGTAGGCTGAGAAGTGCGTTCTGGCTACTAGGTACGACATTATATATATATATATATATATATATATATATATATATATATATATATATATATATATATATATATATATATATATATAATATATATAATATATATATATTATGAATTTTCTTATCCCTCGTAGTTTCCCTTTCGATATGCCAGCCTTTTGTTTTCTGGTCCCTTCCTTGAGTATGTTAACCGTACTTCGACTAGACACTCAAATATCTATACCCTGTGTTCGCTCATTCCCACGGGGGCTTCGAAGTTGATTTCCCTTGTGTGGGAATCGTTCACAGTAATACCAGGTCACGTCTAGCTGTTTCCTCGTTGCCTCTTAATCTTGTGGGTCCCTTGACATTCTGGCTTAAAAAGTTTCTTGTTGCCACATCCGACAGTTTAGCTCTAGAAGTTTCTGCTCCTCCATGCGCTTCTTTGTTCTTCCAGTCTATCTTTCCGTAGTTTAACTGATAGGATCGATTTCGACAGGCGACAGAGACTGCTTTTTCAATTATGTTATTAACTGCCATGTTATTTCTGGGATACTCCTATCTGGGTCTCCTGTCATTTGGTGGAGGGTTGTATATCACTACTACTACTACTCTAGGTCCTCCCATCGTCATGGTCCCTGTTATGTAGTCTCTGAACCCTTTGTAGCCTGGGATAACCATCTCCTAGAAACTGCATTTCAGTTCATTTCTTATCAGTTGGGCAACGCCTAGTGTGTGAGTGTGTGTGTGGTGTACAGTGTGTGTGTGTGTGTGTATTTACATTTACTGTATATATTTGACTAATGAATGATAAATCTTGACACCTCAGCCGAGTATTATTTAATAGTTTGACGTTGCAATTCGGAGTTGGAGTGATATGAGCAACAACAATAATAGAGGCATAAACAATTATAATCATAACAGGTTGTCAACTCGTTAATTAGCGGCGACAGCCCATAAACTGATGGTTGGCGCGTGAAGTCACAAACACCTTCATATGCATAATTGGCTCCAAGGCTGCCCACCCATAACTGCTTCTCTCAGCTTTATTTGTGAGAGAGAGAGAGAGAGAGAGAGAGAGAGAGAGAGAGAGAGAGAGAGAGAGAGAGAGAGAGAGAGAGAGAGCGCGCGCGCGCCTGTCTGTCTGTCTGTCGCTCTGTTCAGGGTTGGAGGCAAGGCACTTGGGACTATCTTGAGGTTATCTTGACATGATTTCGGGGCTTTTAGTGTCCCCGCGGCCCGGTCCTCGACCAGGCCTCCACCCCCAGGAAGCAGCCCGTGACAGCTGACTAACACCCAGGTACCTATTTTACTGCTACGTAACAGGAGCATAGAGTGAAAGAAATTCTGCCCATTGTTTCTCGCCAGCACCTGGGATTGAACCCATGACCACAGGATCACAAGTCTAGTGTGCTCTCTGCTCGGCCGGGCTGGCCTAACCCAATTTTTACATATGAAGCATATGGGGTATGGGAGTGTCATAGGCCAATCGGGGTAAGCTTCAGGTAAGTTTCTGTCTTTAACAAATAAGCCCTATTATCCCCCCCCCCCTTACAATATTGCGATTTTCATAAAGCCAAGTCTGAAATATTGGTTGTGTTGTCCGTAGACTTAGCAGTTTCAATGCTTCATTTTATACTTTTTCTTAGAGGGGTGAAGGAGAAAGGTCGATATTTGAGGAGAGAAGGAGAGAAAGGTGACGAGGGGGGGGGGGGGGGGGGGGGGGGGGGGGGGGGAGGGAGAAAATGGTGGAGAGGGTGGGAAAGTGGAAAGATTAGGAGGAAGGGGAGGGGGGGGGTAGATGGGATTGAGGGGGTGGGGTGATAGACCCGGGCGCGGCCGGGTAGACCTCTATTCCTCAGATATGAGTGTGTGAACATGTTATTGTTGTGAGCTCATAGAGCATGTTGGTTGGTGGGGGTGTGGGGCCCACCCCGAGCTGCCCTGTCACATCAGCCTCCATCTTGTCACCCCAGCCTCCGTCTTGTCACCCCAGCCTCCATCTTGTCACTCTAGCCTCCATCTTGTCACCCCAGCCTCCATCTTGTCACCCCAGCCTCCATCTTGTCACCCCCAGCCTCCATCTTGTCACCCCAGCCTCCATCTTGTCACCCCCAGCCTCCGTCTTGTCACCCCCAGCCTCCGTCTTGTCACCCCCAGCCTCCGTCTTGTCACCCCCAGCCTCCGTCTTGTCACCCCCAGCCTCCGTCTTGTCACCCCAGCCTCCATCTTGTCACCCCAGCCTCCATCTTGTCACCCCAGCCTCCGTCTTGTCACCCCAGCCTCCATCTTGTCACTCTAGCCTCCATCTTGTCACCCCAGCCTCCACCTTGTCACCCCAGCCTCCATCTTGTCACCCCAGCCTCCATCTTGTCACCCCAGCCTCCGTCTTGTCACCCCAGCCTCCATCTTGTCACCCCAGCCTCCGTCTTGTCACCCCAGCCTCCATCTTGTCACTCTAGCCTCCATCTTGTCACCCCAGCCTCCACCTTGTCACCCCAGCCTCCGTCTTGTCACCCCAGCCTCCATCTTGTCACCCCAGCCTCCGTCTTGTCACCCCAGCCTCCATCTTGTCACTCTAGCCTCCATCTTGTCACCCCAGCCTCCACCTTGTCACCCCAGCCTCCGTCTTGTCACCCCAGCCTCCATCTTGTCACCCCAGCCTCCGTCTTGTCACCCCAGCCTCCGTCTTGTCACCCCAGCCTCCATCTTGTCACTCTAGCCTCCATCTTGTCACTCTAGCCTCCATCTTGTCACCCCAGCCTCCATCTTGTCACTCTAGCCTCCATCTTGTCACCCCAGCCTCCACCTTGTCACCCCAGCCTCCATCTTGTCACCCCAGCCTCCGTCTTGTCACCCCAGCCTCCGTCTTGTCACCCCAGCCTCCGTCTTGTCACCCCAGCCTCCAGTTAGGCGTGCCCCGTGTCCATGGCCCACCCTGCCTCGTGTCCACACCCACCTCCCGCTGCCCACCTCCATCTTGGCCTCGTCCACTCCCCACTGTCCGCCATGGCTCCGCCCACCTCAAACAGCCCACCCGTCATCTTCGCCTCGCCCACCACCCCCTTACCCCCCCCCTCTTCCCTTTGACGCGACTCCGCCCCTCACCCTCCCCCCCCCACCGCCCCTCACCCCCTCCTTACGTAACACCTTGGCCTCCAGGACATACATGTTATTCGTAAGTGTGAAGAGTGTACTCACCTATTTGTGCTTGCGGGGGTTGAGCTTTGGCTCTTTGGTCCCGCCTCTCAACTGTCAATCAACAGGTGTACAGGTTCCTGAGCCTACTGGGCTTTTTCATATCTACACTTGAAACTGTGTATGGAGTCAGCCTCCACCACATCACTTCCTAATGCATTCCATTTGTCAACTACTCTTGACACTTAAAAAGTTCTTTCTAATATCTCTGTCGCTCATTTGGGCACTCAGTTTCCATCTGGGTCCCCTAGTGCGTGTGCCCCTTGTGTTAAATAGCATGTCCTTATCTTCCCTATCAATTCCTTTGAGAATCTTGTATGTGGTGATCATGTCCCCCCCTAACTCTTCTGTCTTCCAGTGACGTGAGGTTTAATTCCCGTAGTCTCTCCTCGTAGCTCATACCTCTCAGCTCGGATACTAGTCTGGTGGTAAAACTTTGAACCGCCAAAGGTTTAAAGTCATCACTCAACCAAAGTACCACTAAGTGTGGTAGAGAGGGAGAGACAGAGAGAGGGAGAGACAGAGAGAGGGAGAGACAGAGAGAGGGAGAGACAGAGAGAGGGAGAGACAGAGAGAGGGAGAGACAGAGAGAGGGAGAGACAGAGAGAGGGAGAGACAGTGAGAGACGGAGACAGAGAGAGACGGAGACAGAGAGAGACGGAGACAGAGAGAGACGGAGACAGAGAGAGACGGAGACAGAGAGAGACGGAGACTGAGAGAGACGGAGACAGAGAGACGGAGACAGAGAGAGACGGAGACAGAGAGAGAGACAGAGAGAGACGGAGAGGGAGGGAGGTAACTAAGTCGAGGATAACTTAGTAACACCATACTGACCTATTGTGTTATCTCTGTGCCTGTATGGACTCACCTTAGACAGTCAGGCTGCACCTCCTGCGGCCTCACCTCTTGGATGTATTTACTAACTCCTAAGTGTCTACGGGGCGGAGATGTAGCTCCCAACACCCGCCTCCTAGCTATTGGTTGCCTTATTGGTACCCTTTCACTCATCACTGACTGTTGTACGTCCTCTGAAGTTCGTGGATCGTGATGCCAGCCATAACTTCTTTTCTCGGGTCACTATTAGCTTATGATTCGCTCCTCATGCATATTTCTTACATTTAAATTTTGTACATTGCGATCAAGTCTCCTCTGGTCTTTTTATACCCTTAAAGTTGTTAGGTGAAGCTTCCTTAGCTTGTTAACCAAACCACACACAAGATATTGAATGACGACGACGTTTCGGTCCGTCCTGGACCGTTATCACGGCGATTGTGGCTCCTTTAAGACGCCCTTAAGAGACAGGCTCCCTTAGCCTGTCGTCTTAGTTTAATTTTGTTGCTTCAAGCACCAGTAATGTTGCAAACCTCTGTTTATACTTTAGGAGATACCGATTTCGTTCAGGCGCTGCATATTCTAGAACTAGTCTGATGTGTGTTGTCCTGCGAAAGTCACTCCTTAAATTTTTAAAAGCTGTCTTAATGTTCCCACAGTTTATTGTGGGCTCCACCAGTCTCACAGTCTGTGCTCCACCAGTCTCTCAGTCTGTGCTCCACCACTGTCTCTCAGTCTGTGCTCCACCACTGTTGTATGCGTCCTCACTCTTAATTGTCAGCTGGTAGTTTATTGTGCACCCCATACTCAACGTGTGAGCGGTAGCGCAAAAAAAGCGTAGCGTAGGCCCAAGGGGATGTGGAGGGCAGCAGACGTGGCCCAGGGATGGTGAGGTGGCCCCAGGGGATGTAGAAGGCAGCAGACGTGGCCCAGGGATGGTGAGGTGGCCCCCAGGGGATGTAGAAGGCAGCAGACGTGGCCCAGGGATGGTGAGGTGGCCCCAGGGGATGTAGAAGGCAGCAGACGTGGCCCAGGGATGGTGAGGTGGCCCCCAGGGGATGTAGAAGGCAGCAGACGTGGCCCAGGGATGGTGAGGTGGCCCCAGGGGATGTAGAAGGCAGCAGATGTGGCCCAGGGATGGTGAGGTGGCCCCAGGGGATGTAGAAGGCAGCAGACGTGGCCCAGGGATGGTGAGGTGGCCCCAGGGGATGTAGAAGGCAGCAGACGTGGCCCAGGGATGGTGAGGTGGCCCCCAGGGGATGTAGAAGGCAGCAGACGTGGCCCAGGGATGGTGAGGTGGCCCCAGGGGATGTAGAAGGCAGCAGACGTGGCCCAGGGATGGTGGGATGGCCCCCAGGGGATGTAGAAGGCAGCAGACGAGGCCCAGGGATGGTGAGGTGGCCCCAGGGGATGTAGAAGGCAGCAGACGTGGCCCAGGGATGGTGAGGTGGCCCCAGGGGATGTAGAAGGCAGCAGATGTGGCCCAGGGATGGTGAGGTGGCCCCAGGGGATGTAGAAGGCAGCAGATGTGGCCCAGGGATGGTGAGGTGGCCCCAGGGGATGTAGAAGGCAGCAGATGTGGCCCAGGGATGGTGAGGTGGCCCCAGGGGATGTAGAAGGCAGCAGACGTGGCCCAGGGATGGTGAGGTGGCCCCAGGGGATGTAGAAGGCAGCAGACGTGGCCCAGGGATGGTGAGGTGGCCCCAGGGGATGTCGAAGGCAGCAGATGTGGCCCAGGGATGGTGAGGTGGCCCCAGGGGATGTAGAAGGCAGCAGATGTGGCCCAGGGATGGTGAGGTGGCCCCAGGGGATGTAGAAGGCAGCAGACGTGGCCCAGGGATGGTGAGGTGGCCCCAGGGGATGTAGAAGGCAGCAGAGGTAGGCATGGGGGTGGTGATGAGGGCAGCAGAGGTGACTCTTGGGGGATGAGGAGGGCAGCAGAGGCGGCTCCTGGGCTGGGTAGTGGGAGCCACAGAAGAGGCAGCAACCACCAGAATTGGCAGGACGTGAGCTGAATATGTGAGGACGTGTAGAAGGGGCGTCACCCGCCGCCAGCAGGCACGCCCTCGCTGGCCTCCTCCTCCTCCTCCTCCCTGCGACACTTGGGTACACCACGAAGCCTGTTTGGCATGCTGGCTGTGCCCAAAGTTTCTGCCATGGAATAAATTGCATACTCAATTTGGCCATTTTGGTGCAAGTGGGAATTGTGTTGAAATGCCAAGATATGAAAGTGTTGCAGCCTGACATAACAACAGATGGTTGGAGAAGCAAGCTGATGCTAAGACTCGTCCTGACCACACCCGGGGCCCAGCGCCACACCTGGGGCCCAGCGCCACACCTGGGCCCAGCGCCACACCTGGGGCCCAGCGCCACACCTGGGGCCCAGCGCCACACCTGGGGCCCAGCGCCACACCTGGGGCCCAGCGCCACACCTGGGGCCCAGCGCCACACCTGGGGCCCAGCGCCACACCTGGGGCCCAGCGCCACACCTGGGGCCCAGCGCCACACCTGGGGCCCAGCGCCACACCTGGGGCCCAGCGCCACACCTGGGGCCCAGCGCCACACCTGGGGCCCACCGCCACACCTGGGGCCCAGCGCCCCACCTGGGGCCCAGCGCCACACCTGGGGCCCAGCGCCACACCTGGGGCCCAGCGCCACACCTGGGCCCAGCGCCACACCTGGGCCCAGCGCCACACCTGGGCCCAGCGCCACACCTGGGCCCCAGCGCCACACCTGGGGCCAGCGCCACACCTGGGCCCAGCGCCACACCTGGGGCCCAGTGCCACACCTGGGCCCAGCGTGCCTCTAAAACAGAGGCACCCTGGTAGGATGTCACATTACGGGCTCACCATAGCCCGTGCTACATGGACACTTCGTCCTGAGTAGCTAAAGCTTTAACAACAACGGTAGGATGTCAAGCAAATGGTAATCCCATTATGTTTATTCTCGTTTTCAAATATAAGAAAGAAGTGTTATACATTTTTGTCCCCATAGTAATTATTTAATTTTTCAAATTCTACAATTTTACATTAAATATGTTTCCTGAAGTAGATTGATTATCTTTACACTGGAGCTCAGTATTTGAAGAAATTGGTGAAATGGATCATCTTTTACATTTAATGTATTTCTATAATTGTTTTCTCTTCTAGAGAAAAGTATCTTTGATATATATTGTTGCGGAAAGAATGAGATTTTTCGAAGCACTATTTGCAATTTCTGGCCTTTGTTTTCAAAGCTGAAATAAGAAATTACTAATGATCACCGGATGAAACTTAATTGTTAACATTAATTCAGTTGAAATATTAATAAAGTGCTCCCAACTCTTTTAATGTTAATTCAGATATATTCCCAGATGAAACAAAGGGAATTTAAACCACTCGAATATCCGTGATGGAGGTAGAAACAGCTCCATAATTTGTATCGAGTTTTGTGACACTTTCATTGTTGACAACAATGAATCCGAGACGGAAATGTATCAGTTCCATTGAGAATATAATTCTGGTTTCTTCTCTCGCTCTGTCTGATAAAGATACCCTACGGCACCCCGCCGCACATCTCAGGAACTCTTGGGATCCTAAGAACATGAGAATAAAGTTAATTGCAGAAGGCCCTTTGCCGCCATATGAGGCAGATCTTGTTACAGCAACCTAAACTTATTTATGTGGAACCTACGCTTGAAACAACCCAGCGATCCCATATATCCGCGTAACACAATTTGCAAACATCTGTCCTAGAGTCCAGAGGAAGAGCGCTCACGTTAGCCACACGTAAGCTGATGATGGCGCAGAAGTTAATATATAGTTTTACTGTGAATTATAACACTCAGTAAGTTGGTTCGTACGTTCACTCCTTTCACCCCTTCCTCAGACCAAGTCCATTCTCTCCAGCGGTCGACCCCAAAGACTCATCACTAATTTTAACATTCTGTTAATTCAAAATAGAACTTTTCTCAAATATAAATTAATATTATTATATATTAGCATACTGTGAATATTTAGGCACTGGTTAGGTAAAGTGTTTAGGTTCTGTCGGCGATTATTTGTTTTTGTAGTACGTGGGTGAAAAATTTACAGTGCTGTTGTACGAAAATTCGTCAGTGAAGCACTTGTTCCGGAAGTGTTCGAACGAAATTAGTTGAGAGTCGCGTGTGAAGCGTTTTTCATTCATAAACAGGGGGTATGGCGGGTGCATCGACCATGTCGATAAAGTCTTTTGACCATGTCGTAGCTCAGTCGATAAAGGCAGCGTCTGGGTTGATCTCGGACGCAGGTTCGAATCCTCGTCACGGCCCTTGTGGATTTGTTCATATGATGCATCACGCTATTGTGATTTCTGTGTGTAACCCACACTACACCCCCGCACCACACACCCACACTACACCCCCGCACCACACACCCACACTACACCCCCGCACCACACACCCACACTACACCCCCGCACCACACACCCACACTACACCCCCGCACCACACACCCACACTACACCCCCGCACCACACACCCACACTACACCCCCGCACCACACACCCACACTACACCCCCGCACCACACACCCACACTACACCCCCGCACCACACACCCACACTACACCCCCGCACCACACACCCACACTACACCCCCGCACCACACACCCACACTACACCCCCGCACCACACACCCACACTACACCCCCGCACCACACACCCACACTACACCCCCGCACCACACACCCACACTACACCCCCGCACCACACACCCACACTACACCCCCGCACCACACTCCCACACTACACCCCCGCACCACACACCCACACTACACCCCCGCACCACACACCCACACTACACCCCCGCACCACACTCCCACACTACACCCCCGCACCACACACCCACACTACACCCCCGCACCACACACCACACTACACCCCCGCACCACACTCCCACACTACACCCCCGCACCACACTCCCACACTACACCCCCGCACCACACACCCACACTACACCCCCGCACCACACTCCCACACTACACCCCCGCACCACACTCCCACACTACACCCCCGCACCACACTCCCACACTACACCCCCGCACCACACTCCCACACTACACCCCCGCACCACACTCCCACACTACACCCCCGCACCACACTCCCACACTACACCCCCGCACCACACTCCCACACTACACCCCCGCACCACACTCCCACACTACACCCCCGCACCACACTCCCACACTACACCCCCGCACCACACTCCCACACTACACCCCCGCACCACACTCCCACACTACACCCCCGCACCACACTCCCACACTACACCCCCGCACCACACTCCCACACTACACCCCCGCACCACACTCCCACACTACACCCCCGCACCACACACCCGCACCACACACCCGCACCACACACCCGCACCACACACCCGCACCACACACCCGCACCACACACCCACACCACACACCCACACCACACACCCACACCACACACCACACACCCACACCACACACCCACACCACACACCCACACCCCACCCCCACACCCCACCCCCACACCCACACCCCACACCCACACCCCACACCCACACCCCACACCCCACACCCACACCCCACACCCACACCCCGCACCCACACCACACACCCACACCCACACACCCACACCACACACCCACACCACACACCCACACCACACACCCCACCCCCACACCCCACCCCCACACCCACACCACACACCACACCACACACCCACACCACACACCCACACCACACACCCGCACCACACCCCCATACTACACCCCCACACCACACACCCACACCACACACCCACACCACACACCCACACCACACACCCACACCACACACCCGCACCACACCCCCATACTACACCCCCGCACCACACCCCCACACTACACTCCCGCACCACATACCCACACCACACACCCACACTTCACCCCCACACCGCACACCCACACTTCACCCCCACACTTCACCCCCACACTTCACCCCCACACCACACACCCACACTCACACCACACCCCCGCACCACACCCCCGCACCACACCCCCGCACCACACCCCCGCACCACACACCCGCACCACACACCCGCACCACACACCCGCACCACACCCCCGCACCACACTACACACCCACACCACATCTGTTATATTTCAGATGTTACAGTATTGTATCTTCACGCAATCCTCAGATGAAAATTGTATCTTCATATCTGTTGAAAAAGTAAAGTTGGGAGACTTGTCTACACCTTCCTGTGTGTGGTAGCTCCTAGACCTGTGTTGGCATGGTCTGTGAGCAACATTGACCCCTAACGTGGCATATATCATAGCACTGTCTTCAGTCCTCCTGGTCTGTCGTCGTCATTCCACGCAGCCTAACACAACAAATTCAATTTGAACATTGTCAAGGCCCTCCGTGGAATTCAATTTACCTCAAAGAGCATCATACAGTAGAGTGAACTGAAGACGTATTAGCTTTTAGGACACACAATATTTCTTAAAGTATGTTTGATATTCATCATAGCGTTGTGAGGCTGTCGTCTGCTAATTTGTTATCTTTTATGTATCTTCTTGAGGTTATCTTGAGATGATTTCGGGGCTTTTTTTTTTTTTTTTAGTGTCCCCGCGGCCCGATCCTCGACCAGGCCTCCACCCCTAGGAAGCAGCCCGTGACAGCTGACTAACACCCAGGTACCTACTTTACTGCTAGGTAACAGGGGCATAGGGTGAAAGAAACTCTGCCCATTGTTTCTCGCCGGCGCCTGGGACCACAGGATCGCAGGATCACAAGTCCAGCGTGCTGTCCGCTCGGCCGACCGGCTCCCCTGTAAAGTACAATAATTCCACATGTACTGACAGTAATCCAAGGAAGCGTCCTCACGTGCAGGGTAACACTCACAACCTCAGCACAATTAACGTCTACACCCAAAACACTAAATGATGAATCAAACAATAATTACACGCAGCTGTTTACAAACAGCGGAAACCTCAGGACAACACTGGCAACCCCCGCAGGGCTCCACACACACACACACACACACACACACACACACACACACACACACACACACACACACACACACACACACACACACACACACACACACACACACACACACACACCAACACAACCCGCTGCTCAAGCACTCATACATTTAGCAAAACAATCATCAACGGGGCACCCATAGGGAGCAAACAAAAAGGTCACAAAGCAATGAAAACCCAACCCCATATACAGGAACATGGAACCACGGCAGTACAAAACAGTAAAGAACAAATTACCGAGTGCAGAAATTACTGCGGAAAAGACCTCCGTGAACCTAAAAGTGACTACATTCACATGAGATTAACAAACCAATCAGAAAAATATGACATATCCCCACCCCAAGCACGGGGCGTAAGCTGCATGCAGTAAACCTGACCCTGGCCTGAAAGAAGCCCAGGGTCCGATCCTGCCTCCCAATCCAAACATAAAAAATGTAATCAGACGTAATCATTGTATTTGAACCTTTGTGTACGTGGAGGTGAAGTCAAACATCAAACACCTCATCAACTCCCCATACACACTAGGCACACACAGCTGCGATAGAACACTTCAACCATACCACCAACGCAACCCTATGTTTATAAAAGTAAAACACATGAAATGAAGACCCATTATCGCACAAGACACACCGAGCACTGTCCAACATGTGCAGCACAGCATTAATAGGAAGAATCTCATGGATTGAAGGGTACACAAGTTCACGTTGTCTCATCGCAATAGACTCAAAATGCCCGCCCGTCCCCGTAAAGAAAGGCCGAAGTCCATTCTATCCACCCGCCAAACTCCTTGTTTATGCAACCCGTCCTCACACCAGGTTGTTTACAGCAGCGGCCGTCCTCCCCCAGACGCATTCGTCAATTTTAACATACTGTGTCTTAAAATTGGTTTGTTCTCGTATATAAATTAATATTATTAACGTTCTCATATATAAATTAACTTATTAACGAGCTTGGATCTTTGTATGCGAGGACGGGCTGGTGTATGAATGAAAAACGGCACACGACTCGACTAATCAACCACGTCCTCGACTCAAGTCCATTCCATCCAGCGGTCGACCCCATAGACGCATTCACAAATTTTTACATGCTGTACATTCAAAACGGGAATTTTCTCATATATAAATTAATATTATAATATATTAGCATATTGTGCATGTATGCCAGCCTATTGACATAGCTCGGGTGCATGGGGGGGAATTGCGTAAAACCTTGGCTTGTGTCTCGGAGAGACTGCAGGAACCGTGGTAAATTAGGATGATTTCCCGGTTGCAATTCTTTTTACCATCCATGTCGTAACTGAGTCGATTAAGGCAGCGTTTGGGATCCTCTCGGACGTAGGTTCGAACCCTCGTCACGGCCCTTGTGGATTTGTTCATTTGATGCATCACGCTATTGTGATTTCTGTGTGTAAAGTATGTTAAAATTGCTGAATGCATCTCGGGAGGAGGGCCGCTGCTTTAAACAGCCCCAACCCGTCCTCGACTCAAGTCCATTACATCCAGAGGTCGATCCCACTGACGCATTCATAAATTTGTACATGCTGTTCATTCAGAACGGGAGTTTTCTCAAATATAAATTAATATTCCAATATATTGCCATATTGTGCATATATAGGCATAGGTTAGGTGTTTAGGTTCTGTTGGCGATTATATGTATTTGTAGTACGTGGGTGAAGCATTTACAGCGTTTTGGTTCGAACAAAACTAGTTAGTGAAGCCCTTGTTCCGGAAGTGTTCGAACAAAATCAGTTGAGTCGTGTGTAAAGCGCTTTCATTCATAAACAGGGGCTTTGGCGGCTGGATTAACGAGCTTGGATCTTTGTATGCGAGAACGGGTTGTTCGCTGACTGCTTTTGTTCGAACCATAACGATGTAAATGCTTCACCCACGTACTATAAATACAAATAATTGCAAACAGAACCTAACATCTAACCTAAACTAAGTAATGCCTAAATATGCACGAATATGCTAATAATTAACAATATTAATTTATATTTGAAAAAATCCTATTTTTAATTAACGGCATGTTAAAATTGATGAATGCATCTTTGCGGTCGACCGCTGGATGGAATGGACTTTTTTGAGGACGGGTTGATTTCTCAACACCGCACCCCAATCATAAAGGGGGTGGCGGGGGGCGGGGGGGCATAGCCCCACAGTTGGCTCCACACAGGGAAGCAAGATACCGTACGTACTCTTACAAGGACAAACTGAACAAGGCATCCAGTTTACATTGCTGCCGTAAAACATTAATTACACAGCAATAAGATAGTGCGAAACAAGCAGGCTAAGCTTACTCAGGAATACATAGCAAATAGCTCACCTTCACCTTACAATAATAATGTCTCATCCCAAAATGCATATGCCCTCCGAGATGCAGCAGACAGTATGACCAAAGCCTTATAAAACACATTTTGGATTTGAATCCCACCAGTCTCCCTAGCCAGATAGTGGTATTCCTGATTGGCTGGTATCTCTCACTCCATTCATACCTAAAGGTTGACATTTCAGTGGACTTTGCCACCACGTGTGGCACAGGACAATTATTCGCAACAAACCACACCTGCGAGTGTACATTACAATTCAATATCAACCCTCTCTGAAACGTAGTCAACCACCTGGAGGTTGACTAGGGAGCCGGTCGGCCGAGCGGACAGCACACTGGACTTGTGGTCCTGGGTTCAATCCCAGGCGCCGGCGAGAAACAATGGGCAGAGTTTCTTTCACCCTATGGCCCTGTTACCTTGCAGTAAAATAGGTACCTGGGTGTTAGTCAGATGTCACGGGTTGCTTCCTGGGGGTGGAGGCCTGGTCGAGGACCGGGCCGCGGGGACACTAAAGCCCCGAAATCATCTCAAGATAACCTCAAGATAACCTGGATAACAGCACGGAGGCAGACATCAAAACATTATGCTGCACATCGCCCCAGTTCCTCCACGATGTCGCCTCATAGGACCGACACCATGCAATACCAAGAATTTTTAAGGAACTTACCACCCGAAACCAGGAGCCCGCCCAGCGGGACATTGAACTCAAACCACCAAGTTGGTGTCTGTTGCCAACATAAATGTGTTCAATACCTCCTAAACAACCAAGACCAAAAACCTCCGTGGACATGAAAACAATAGTGTCATCTGCATACCTTCCCACTGGGAGCGACATCACATTCGGAAGCAGAGGTGGTATAATTAACACAGCCAACTTCACCACCAGGTAAAGCGGCTCCTGAAGGAGATCATGTTAAATCACGGAAAGAAGACACCCCAGCCGTACAGTCCGCCTAATCGCAAAATGCTCAATGAACAACCTGTTCACAGGAAACTGAAGGTTACCGGTGAATTTTGACTGATGATGGTATTATTAGGACACTAGCTAGGTGCCCAGGCCTTCACTAGTGATATTAGGACACTAGCTAGGTGCCCAGGCCTTGACTAGTGATATTAGGACACTAGCTAGGTGCCCAGGCCTTCACTAGTGATATTAGGACACTAGCTAGGTGCCCAGGCCTTCACTAGTGATATTAGGACACAAGCTAGGTTCCAAGGGGCCTAGGTCTAGGTCTAGGGGCCTCGTAGCCTGGTGGATAGCGCGCAGGACTCGTAATTCTGTGGCGCGGGTTCGATTCCCGCACGAGGCAGAAACAAATGGGCAAAGTTTCTTTCACCCTGAATGCCCCTGTTACCTAGCAGTAAATAGGTACCTGGGAGTTAGTCAGCTGTCACGGGCTGCTTCCTGGGGGTGGAGGCCTGGTCGAGGACCGGGCCGCGGGGACACTAAAAGCCCCGAAATCATCTCAAGATAACCAAGGCCTCCACAAGTTTGGTTAAGACACTAGCAAGGCTAGCTATGGCCCCAGGCCTCCACTAATATTATTAGAATACTAGCTAAGTGCCCATGCCTCCACTAGTTTGGTTAGAACACTATCAAGACTAGCTATAGCCCCAGGCTTCCACTAGTGTTATTAAGACACTAGCTAGGCGCCCAGGCTTCCACTAGTGTTGTTAGGACACTAGCTAGGCGCCCAGGCTTCCACTAGTGTTGTTAGGACACTAGCTAGGCGCCCAGACCTCCACTAGTGGTGTTAGGACACTAGCTAGGCGCCCAGACCTCCACTAGTGGTGTTAGGACACTAGCGAGGCTAGCTAGGCGCCCAGACCTCCACTAGTGGTGTTAGGACACTAGCGAGGCTAGCTAGGCGCCCAGGCCTCCACATACAACACACACTTGGTACAAGGACCACTGGAGTAACCCCCCTCATCCTCCCAGTATTCCTCCAACCTCTTGCATGGGATTCCTGGCGTTCCCAGGCTGTGGGCTGGGTGAGGGGGAGCGTGTCTGGCCCGCGTCTCAGGTTGTGCACTACAAGGAGCCGGCTGGTATGGAGCGGTTGGCAGTCTTGTGCCTGCATACCTTTCTACCTGAATATACACATACATTTTGACATGCTAACACACGCATTCACGTATATATTGACATGCTAACACATGCATATACACATATTAACATGCTAACACACGCATACACACACATATTGACATACTAACACATGCTAACATACGCATAAACACATATATTGACATTGTAACTCGCACATACATACATATATTGACATTCTAACTCACGCATACATACATATTGTAACACGCATACACACACATTGGTATTCTAACACAGGCATAAACACATATATTGGCATATATTGACAGATATGCACATATGTATTCACATTCTAAAACACGCATACACACATATATTGACGTACTATAACACACACACACACATATTGACATACTATAACACACACACACATATTGACATACTAACACATGCATACACATATACATTAACATGCTAACACATGCATACACATACTAACTCACGTATACACACATAATACTGACATACTTAGGCACACATACACACATATTTACATGCTCAGACACACATGCACGCACACAAGTGCGTCAAGTGGCAAATGGAATTCAATGTGAATAAATGCCATGTTATCGAATGTGGAATCTGAGAAAATAGACCACACTCAACTTACAAATTATGTGGAAAGGAATTACAGAACTCTAATAAAGAAGGAGACCTGAGGGTGGTTTAAGATAGTAAGGTGTCGCCAGAGGAACACATAAAGAACATTGTGAGAGGAACGAATGTGTCGCTTTCCAACTTTAGACTTGCTTTTAATTATATGGATGGTGAAATACTAAAGAAACTGTTCGTGACTTTTGTGAGACCAAAACTGGAATATGCAGCAGTTGTGTGGTGCCCAAATCTCAAGAAGCACATAAAGAAACTGGAAAAGCTGCACGACATGCTACAAAATGGCTTCCGGAACTGAAAAATAAGAGCTACAAGGAGAGACTAGAGGCGTTAAACAGGCCAAAACTAGAAGATAGAAAAAAAGAAGAGATACCATCACCACTTACAAAATACTAACAAGAATCGACCAAATGGACAAAGAGGAATTCCCGAAACCAGCAACTTTACGAATAAGAGGACACAGATTCAAGTTAAGGAAACAAAGGTGCCGAAAAAATATTAGCAAGTTTTCTTATGCAAACAGAGTGGTAGACGGCTGGAACAAGTTAAGTGAGAAGGTGGAGGAGGCCAAAACCGTCAGTAGTTTCAAAGAGTTACATGACAAAGAGTGCTGGGAAGACGGGACACCACGAGCGTAGCTCTCGTCCTGTAACTACACTACTAAGAAATATATTTCGTGAAGATATCAACTGATTATATTTCAATTTAAAATGCTGATGCTGTTTCAACAGGTGTTGTGTAAGTCATTATAGTGGGAGACATAACCCAGGACGAGTCTGGCTGGTGGAGATAAAGACTTGCGGATTGCAAATTATATTTGTGCACTGGCTAGATAGAGTAATTATGAAGAGAAAGCGCCAGGCTGGTACTACTATATAGCTCTTGGAAAGGGGTACAAGGGCAAGGAGTTGGAACATTGGAGATCGAACTTGGACCTTACAAGAAATAAGGCCGTTGCTTTACTGACCAAAATCAGTGGGTACTGGAGACAATCCCTGGGTAGTGGAGATGGGTGTTGTAGAGCGTCATGACTTACACCATTAATATGGGTCTTGTGTAGCAGAGTTATAACACGTTGTAATGTGACGGTCTACAAGCTAGTGTAAATATTGGG